TGGACTTCATCATGGGTTCCGTGGCGAGGTATTAGTAAACATTCTGCCAATAACAAAGGTCTGAGCTTCGGGTAGCGACAAAATTTAGCGCCATCTCTAAGGAAACAACAAACGAAGACGTTTCCTTCATCTGAAAAATCACCTCAATTAAGAACACCTCAATATCCTTACCGAAATTTTCATTAAGCGCGTCATTCGCAAAGTCCTCACTTATGGTGAGGGCAAAGATACTTTCTTTCAGCTTAGAGTGCTTAGCTGTGAGCCCTTTAGATCACATAATGAGGCTACCAGAGCTCTTGACACACGTTGGCTGACATTTATTAATTTCTTGAGGATAATTCGTCAACATTCCATTACTTCCTCGAAAAAACATCTGTTTATTTAAAGGAAGCATAAAATTTATTGTAGCGATGATGCCAGTCGTCCACTAGCGACTTAGTTATAAAGCGAAATTGGACGGTGTTTGAGCAGTAAAACTAGCTTACTTGATCTCCCATACAGCCTTATACACTGCACATTTCGAACTAAGCAAAGAGTAAAACCTTTTATATCATGTCTTAGCGTAATTGCATTTTTTTACTTTGCTTATTGCCGGCTTGGTTGCACGGCAACAACTTTATTCACTTTATTCTCGGAATTTCATTTTTAAAGATACATGCTCAACGGTGAGCCCCACAATTGGCCAACGCAATTCACTTTAGCACTTTTGGGTAATTTATCACACTATAAGCTCGAAAATATATTTATACCTCATCCTAATTGAGGACTGTGAAATACAACTAACTATGGGGGGCAGATGTAGAAGTCTTGCTTTGCTGATTGATGTTTTTGATCAGTCTGATTCACAAAGTCAAGTTCGACAAAGTGTTAATGCGCTGGTGCTATCATCAATAACAAGGTAAATGCAGAAAAAATGGTCTGTTTAAGCACCCCAGAAGTTCAAAGGGGCCCACTGTCATAACCCATGCTTCTTCGAATGATATGTCTGCATGGCATTTTGCATATATGCACGTTAGAGAACGGGCTCGCGTTTGACAATACGACATAAATTTTGAAACTCTTCTTTCGACAGGTCAATACCATTCTCCGTTGAAAAGGTGCACATTGCAGTACCAAATGTCTCCAAGAAAGATGTGACGCCGCACTCACTAAGCTGTACAATTACATACGGCAAAGTCGGCGGCATCAAATCTGTTGTGCTCAGGGTGTGAAGTCCTCAGTCTGTCAATTTATTGCCCTGCTCTTATTTCAAAACAATACATAGTTCCAGCATCGCCTCTTACGCCACAGAGTGCCATAGTTACCGCGACGAGGTCAACAATACGGGTATTCGCAGTGTTAAAGTTCCAATTTGACTGCTCATCGTAAACGCAGCCATGTCTGACGTGCTCTGCAAAGATTTCGTTACACAACTTGAACATGTTGTGGTTCATCTGAGTGATCTAAAGCATGAAAGGCGGTGGCACCGTTTGAAAATGCAGCAATATCTTTACTTTGTTTAGCGAGATCTGCATGATTGCATAACAACATCGTGTTGGCACAAGTCGCCACCCAAAATACTGCTGTGAAAAATAGCCACCACGAGCAATCCAGTGCGCTTGGAGATTATCAGTCTCAAGGTGCCGAATCAGTATACACGATGAATCGCGATGTAATCAACTTCAATTACTAGGTCTTTTAGAAGTTTAGGAGCTACTTCTGCGCTCTAGGGTGGAGTCGATTGGCCCTTTTCGCAAGGTTGTCGGCAGATATATACGGCTAATAGTTTCAATGCGGCAAGCCCTGTAGCCAACACAGCCACTTAATTCACAATCACCGGCAAAATACCGAAATTTCGTTGTGGGTTCAAATGCCAAATTTTTGATCCTGATCCTGATCCTGATTTGTGGTCCGATAATTACATGGTATCATAATTGGAAGATATAAAATTTTAAAGCTATTAGATTTAATAAAATTATGAAAGGCGAGAAATGCTTGCAGTTGCATTCTTTATAATAATCTGCTACAGTAGAACCTGTCTAAAGTAAACCTGTTTAATTTAAAACCCTCTCTAAATAAATTAAACATAGACCCATGCAGGGCACCATACAGTAACATCTGTCTAAATTAAACATGTTTAATTAAAAACCCTCTCTAAATTAAACACTGTTTACCAGTCCCAACATGTTTAATTTAGACAGGTTTACTGTACATGCAAAAGCCCCGAAATTGCAATCGTTTTAGCGGCATGATACTGTATTTGAAAAAGATTTACCAGCCAGTTTCGTCCCTGTACATACATAATAATTAAATTAAGAACTGCGAACTATCTATCTCTTGGCTTCGGCTCCATCTCTTAAAGTGTGAGCCAAGTATTAAAGGGATTTTTTACACCTAAAGGACCAAAAAGGAGTTGTTTGCTAGCATAACAAAACCTGTTACTGTTAGCACTCTAGCGTATCTTCCGCACACAAAGGCTTTAATTTATTTCATAGCTGCGAGAGTGTACTTTCAACATTTCAACAGCAAAAACGTGGAGGGTAGCATCCAACCGTTTTGTCTTGCAGTAAGCAAATGTAGCAATCTAATCCACAATCGAGAACATGCCTCTTGAAAGTTCTAATGAAAGAATTTCTCGTTTGCCCAAGATTCTTTTCTCTTGGTTTTACTAATGTCGAATCGGCTGTAAACAACGGACGTCGTCATTGATTGATAGCTTGACTTTCAAATGCTTTGACATAAATCTCATTTCTGGATTTGTCCGCTAGCCACCGAGTGAGAAATGATTTTGACAGCTATGCAAGTAATTGTTTACTGCATCATAGCTTTGCTGCTTCTTGATGCTGTCGTAGCTATCAACATTGACGTCGTCTCGAGAGCCAAACCCGTCATATCTGTAAAGGATCGCGACACTGAGTTTTATCGCGTGAAGATTGCGACGACCCGCCGCCTGAGAGGGCACAGACTTGCGACAGTCAAAGCACAAAAGAACACATTTCAAGATGAAGAAAGAATGAATTTAGATAGTCTACTTTCGGCTATCTCGAGTCCTCCTGACTTCATAGCATTTGCTGAGAAAACCCTGGAAATGTATTTTAAATTTCCCGCGTCAACCGACGACTTTTCAACAATTTGGAAGACTGGTGAGAGCTTAGGTGTCATCGGTAATTCCCTCGATTGATCAAATCGTATCTCTGCGGCCGTAAAGCTGGCGGTGGAAAAACTCGGCGTGACTGATACGAAACTCACGAAGACGACGGCCGCAGATAAGCGACCGAAGACAAATCCAGAAGAGCTGCAAGATTCTATAGAAACTTTGCTCACCATTCTGAACGTAATTAAAGCTCAGCGAATCATCGACTCAAAACGAATACCTGGCGTTCAAGAAGAGACTATCACGCGTCTTCAGGACAATACTTTCAAGTTTTGGAAGTCTCGAGGCGTGACAAGCGATGCTTTGTCGAATATTCTTCTGCATACGGAGGACTATAAAAGCAATCCGGTGGACGTCCCTAAGAGCAATCTCGTGGACGACCCTAAGAGCAATTTCGTGGACGACCCTAAGAGCAATTTCGTGGACGACCCTAAGAGCAATCTCGTGGACGACCCTAAGAGCAATCTCGTGGACGA